TATTCTTAAATGAAACACTTATAAACCTTATAAGGAACATGGTGAATGGCTTGTTTTTAATCAACCTCACAAACAATAAGATATCTCAAATTCTGGCAAGGTTCCCTAGAACTATCAATCGTGGGCTAGTAAGTAGGGAGAAAATTACTTCAGTTACCATCCTGTTTCATATGAGAAAGCAATAAATTGTAGGTAAAAGGAGGTTTTAAAGAATTCGTTTAGTATTTCTAATAATAAACTAGTTAGTTAGTTAGTTCATATACATAATACGTTCCAAAATTCGAAATAATAATACATTTAGTATACAAATGAACACCTCAAAGTTTGAATTATACTTTGATCCTCCAGTCTTAATTGATCTAGACACATTTTAGTCAGATTTGACTTCGTTAGGGATAGTTCTCTGTGAACTTCTTGGGAGGCCCCTCATGGGCTGGCGACCTCCCAGATCCCTCCTCTTCTTCGTTCTGGGTTCTATGACTATCACGCTCTTCTTTTGCTGACCCTTCTTTCTTCTTCTATTTCCTATTGAAGAACCCTTCCCCTATTTTTTAATGTGGAAACTTGGAGATTGTGTGAGGGATGAGTATTTGAGGATACCCTATTTTGCTTTTGTCCAATCTCATATTTATTATGGAATAGTTGTTGTTTCTGTAGGGTCACTCTAGTGCTGTAAATGACATTCTCGTGAGTCAAAAGAAAATCTTGAGAACTATGTTTAGATTTGACGAAGGAGAACACCGTAAACCGTTGCTTATCAGACATCATGACAGTATTAAACCTTTATATTTATCAAGTACTTATCCATACAAAAGTTTTAAATAGTGTACATAGTTTTAGTTAATATTTATTTAATTTATTAGCAATTAAAATTATTGACTGTTTCCTATTTCTGTATATATATAGATCAACGGAATAAAGACTCTTGACTCTTGAGTGGTGCCGAGCGACTCGTGCCAAAGAAGTGAACGGCACTGGTCTCCCCAACAGTGGTGAGTACGGAGCCCCCAGGATACCATGTGACCTCCTGGAGTAACTAGCCTTATTCAGGCATGTGGGGCTCTGCCTAGGCTCAACGTGTTTTGGTTTCTGGAGAACCAGAACCCTTCCAGGACCAAACCTTGACTCAACTCGAGAATCTGCATCATCAACATTTCAGGGGTTAGCTCATCCATAGAAAGACTTTGCTCTCAGAACTAGTGTATCAATAACACAAGACATTCTGATGCTCTAAAAAACAGACACTTCCACCACCAAGAGTTTGTTAAAGATTTTCTATCTACAATGGAGAAATTATTATGGACAACCACTTGGCAAGAAGCTGTAACATCCTTGGCATCAGGACCTAACATCCTAGCTCACACGCTGGCTGCTGAAGTTGAGTGGAGTATAAGTAGGCAGCTCTCATCACTGGACACGGCCATTTCAGGAAACACCTTCACACTCTGTAAATATTCAGTAACAACCATAAGTGTCGATTTTGCAATCAGTCGGATGATGCTGCAAAACACCATTCTGGATTGCGGTCGAGGCTAAGAAAAGAACCCTCTTTGGTCAAAAGCAGCCAAGTTATGAACCAAACATCTGGCAGAATCTCATGGACCTGGTCATGGACTTGGTTATAGGCTTACCTAGTTAATGACAAATGGGGGGTCAACAATAAGGTTCTGTTGAAGTGCCGTGACCCTGAGTCCACCCAATCATAAAATACAACACAATGTAAATACATTTGAAACTTTTAGCGGTGGCGTTGCTTTTACTCTTATGAATATTGCCTTTGCTGCTGAAAAACTGTATTCTTAGACGACGGTGTAAATAGTCTTGGATGCAGAACAGCACCTGCACATACAGAGTATTTGGTAGTTAGTGTAGTATGAAACATCTTTTTAAAAAAGATCAGATTATAGGCACTGACAGTAGTGACGTCATCCCCATCAAGTATATCAACAACAAAAAATCACAGAAAACACATTCAATTGCGAGGGCAACATTCCAATTGATTAAGCTGTTATAAATATGTTATAAATATGAAAAGTATAATTATTTATTTATTCAAATCATTTGATACAAACTAAATGTAGCGCTGAGTAAATGTTATAGTATATATATTTATTGGATTTATTTATTTAAAATTATATCTTGTGGTTATAATCCAAAACCATTCTTGGTTTATTTTTTATTGTTAAGACACATCCGAAACATTTCTCAAGCGTGGATGCCCGGAATACCGGTTTAGCAATCCTAACATAGTTGCATGGATACATCGTTGTGCATGCCGAATCGTGTTAACAGGATTACATTGTTGTATGCTACTATATTGTATAAATATGGTCAATGCCTTTCAAATGTACTTCTTAATATTAAATTATATACATTTGCTTGAAAACTATCACCATCCATACTGTGTTTTCAAAACAAAAATATTTTGAAAGAAAATAATTCGTGGTTAGTAATTATTTATCGTGAACGTGTCAAACATTTGATAAATACCACGATTACTAGAAAAATACCGGTATGGATCATAAATATAAACAAATGACGTTGTTGGCCCGAATCCTATAGTAATAGCATTGAACATATGTTTTGGCAGTTCCATTTAATCAATGATACATAATGTTTATTTTCGGGCCAAAAACGTCATTTGTTTATGTTTATGATCCATACCGGTATTTTTCTAGTATTCGTGATAAATACTATGATATTTCCGTCGCACATAAAATGGAATTTCAAACATTTGATTCCCTAATCTTTTATAATACTATATATTCAATTTAAGAAGTGAATTTATACAATTGAAACTCTCTAAACAGAAAAACACATTAGTAATCATTGTTTTTTTATATATTTGTTAGTTTTTTTCTTTCATTTAAGACTTGTACATATATTGTACTAACTTTCTTTTTTTCCAGTTGTATAGAGGGTTATAATGGAAATAATAGTTTCAGTAATGATTGTAGTTAGTACAATATATAATTTTATAAGTACCAAATAATTACAGAGTAATCCTATGCAGACTAAAAGCAATCACATAATCTACGGAACAAGCTAAGAAGCACACTAAACAAACAGTTGCCTCAGAAGTATGATGTGGAAACCAAATATATTCTACGTTTGATTGTTAGCTAATTAAATCCTGGACCTTGTTGAAACGTATTTTGCCCGTCTTTACATTAATCCTTCTTAATTAATATTTTAATTAATTATTAATGTTTTTGCAGGTATCTGTGCACCAGGTAAATATGATTTAATAAAATTAATACACGGTGTAAATAGTTTTCATCTGTAACTTAGTGTACGCAATAGCTGTTCTTTGTGTTACTAGTGTGCGAAGTGCCACTTTACTGCACATAAGAAAAATGTTTACGCACAAGCCACAGAAGAATTTGGAAAGTTTCTCGAGTGCAGAAAAGGCACTTTGCACTCTCGTTACACATAATATTTTTCCTACAGTTACTATAAAGCATATAAATGTTGTCTTCCAAACCCTAAACAACACGTTTAAGGTTAGGTTAAATCCAAGCGTTTGACGAAATGGGAAACACTGCAACAGCTGATAGTAGTCGTAGTATTTTTAAGTGTTGCAAACTTATTTTCAAGCGTATGCGTATTACGTGCCTAATAAAAGTACACTGTTTCGTGTTGTTTTGTTGGAATACTGGAGTGCGGTAAAAAGAATTAGTGTCGCAAAAGTAAAAAGAGTGCGACAAAAATCAAGTAAAAGCAGCAATAATTGGCATCTTTCTGTACTGTAATCAGTGCAAGGAAACCCACTTTGTCAAGTGCCTGTAGGAAAAAGTATTTTAACGTCAATGTATATAAAGTTAGGTCACAGTGGAGAGTTGATAGGTTAATGGGATAATATAAACATATATAAAACAATCACATTGTGTCGTATTTTATATTATAAATAGTTTTTATTAGATGTATAAACACATTTTTGGATTGTTCTAACCAGAGTAAAGGTATTACCTCAAGTGAGACATAAAATGATCTTTTCCTACAGTCGGGTGACTGTAGGAAAAGATAACTTTGTCTTGTGTTGGGTAACAATGTGTGCTTCCTTGCACAGATTATAGTACAGAAAACCTTACTTTGGCGCAAAGTTCTTATTTTGGCTCGCAGTTTTTACTTTGGCTCACAGTTTTTACTTTGGTGCTATTATGTTCTATATCACTACTAGTTAAAAGAACCGCACCATATCAAATAGACTGCGACTAACCTGGTAGATAACGTAGAACTGAGGCCGGTTCAGAGACATCAGCTGTGACGTCATTGCGTTGGCAGTGCAGCCACACACACAAACTAAATAGCACTACTTTCTGCTAGTGCATATAACTTTAAAATATATCACACTCGCCACAACTAAAAATTGGTGATTCTTCACTTGACCAGATAAAAATTAAAAACTTGGTAGGCCAAACTCAAAAGTACTTTAAATAAAACTTGGCCTAATAATTATTGGCAACTCAAAAATCAATTGCTTCATAAAATAAACTAAAAATTCTTCTGCGCCTTACTTTTGCTAAGGCCTACAAATCAAGCCGCGCAGGCTTCCTCACAGTCCTGTCAGAACGTCTTAGTTGTGGCGGACTGCACTGCACAACGGGAGGCTGAAGTTCTGCCACTGGTGGTTCGTCTGACGTGGACTTCTTCTGCGGCGATTGTTTCTCCGGAGAGGCTGGTTTTTCATTTATATTCCTCTTATTGGGTGTCGCTGGTGTGAAGCAACTCCGGATGGGTGGAACAGTAGGCTCCTCTTCTTGAAGGGAATATTCCCGGGCTCGTAGATGGTCAGCATGACAAACCCGTGTGCGCCCCAGTGATGACACAATGTAAGTTACTGGGCTACGCCTTTGTAAAATCTTCCCTGGCACCCAAGATACCTTCTCATTCCTCACTGTTCGAACCAATACCAATTCTCCTTCCTCAAAACTTCGGAACTTTCCTCTACTCCTATCCGCATACTTCTTCTGTCGATCCATCTGTCGATGTATCGTCTCTTACAAGTTAGGCTTGAGTAAGGTTAACTTCGTCCTAGGCTTCCAATTCAGGAACATCTCAGCTGGTGTGAGCCCCGTTACAGAGCAAGGGGTGTTACGATACGAAATCAAGAAATTGTCCAACTTGTGCTGTAAGGTAATGGAACCTGTGGCACTCTCTCCCAAAACTTGTCGAAGTAGATTTTTCTTGACAATTTGAACACTGCGCTCAGCAGAACCATTGGAAGCAGGATGGTAGGGTGGTGTTAACGTAAATTTAACTCCATTCTTAGCCAAAAACTCTCTAAATTCGGAACTAGTAAAGGTAGCTTGGTTATCAGAAACTAGCTCTTCAGGTAACCCATAAGAAGCAAACAGGGTTCGAAGACGGGAAACTGTACTGGAAGTGGTAGTAGAATTCATCAAAAATACCTCGATCCACCGAGAATAAGTATCTACAAGTACAAGCATTTGTTGTCTAGAAGTAGGCTCCTCCGCAAAGTCAATATGTACACGCTGCCACCTCCTTGTGGACTTAGGCCACTGCTGCAATGGAACCTTCACAGACGAGTTCCGAGAACTCTGACAGATATGACATGATCTAACCATACTCTCAATCGCTGGTTCAAGACCAGGCCACCAAACGTAGCTTCTTGCGAGCATTTTCATTCTTACAATACCAGGATGTTGGTCATGTAACAACCGAAGCACATTGTCTCTAAGTTTATCAGGAATTACAACTCGAGAACCCCATAATACACAATTAGCCTCAATGGACAACTCATCCTTCCTCTTTAAATAAGGAGTCAACTTAGGGTCTTTTACATCTCTCCAGCCATGCCACAAAAAATCACGGACTCTAGATAAAAGTGGATCTCTGCCAGTAAATCTCGCTACATCTACAGAAGTAAGTGGATTTTCACTCACCAATTGGCAGTTGAATACCTCCAAGCATTCCTCCACATGGGCGACACAGTTAGCTTCCAATTCCAGGGATTCATCCATGGGTAGGGGTAATCTTGACAATGCATCCGCATGTGATACCTCAGATCCTTTTCGATACCGAACTTCAAAGTTGTAGGTCGATAATATCAATGCCCATCGTTGCAACCGTGCTGCGGCAAGACTAGGTATTCCTTTCTTAGAACCAAATATGGCTGTTAATGGTTGATGGTCTGTCTGCAAAATAACATTCATCCTGCCATAAATATATTTGTGGAACTTTTTTGCACCAAAAACCAATGCAATGCGTTTCATGATCTAGTAGTGTGTGGATGGACAGCACATCCACTCCGGAGAAGAAGTTTGTTTCATTTGTTTCGTTTAGATTGGTTGATTAATTATTAATCGATTGATTGGTTTTTAGTGATTTTAGTGATTTTTTAGCGATTTTTTAGCGATTTTTTATGGATTTATAGGCTTATTTGCTTGATATAATGGCTGTAATTCCACTTTTAGTGCTAATATGAGCTTATTTCCCTGGTATTAAGCCTTTAATGGGTAATTTTATTATATTCTACAGTCTTATTCATCAATAAGTGATTATGAAATTGGTTAAAAAGACTAGAAAGTCAAGATTAGGCTATGAGTCTTACGTTTTGAATCGTTTAACTTGCTGATTTGCAACCACTGGTAATACTTGAATTTTCGATAAACTGTTCATTTAAATTACTTAGACTTCACTACATACCATGAATAGGTGCTTAAGCAGTGAAATATACAAAAATAAAGTCATAATTTACTTTTATAGAGAAATAAATAAAGGAATAAGCCTGTACTGTTTTTTAAACTGTCTTTGTCGCAATAGATTTTTTCCATTTTCTGGCTAAACTATACAGTTCTAAGCTCTCCAAATGTGGTTTTCAAATCATTTACTATTATAGTTTAACTAATCTGATGTTAAAATCCCATAAAAAATAAAAAAAAACACTATAATTTGCAATTTTATGACATTTATCGTCTGTTAAACTCGTGGCGAAAACGCCATTTTATTTGCTGAAATATAAAGCTATTGAAAGTATTAAGAGGAAATAAACTACATAATTATGTTTATTGCTATATATTCAACAGTAATACATATATTTCAGCCATTAAAAATGTTTACTTTTTAAGCCTTATCAGTCTAAAGTTGGCTATTTTGCTCAGAGTTGGACTATTTTAAGTCACAGATTGTAGACTTTTAAAGTGTATTATTAACGTAATATTTACTGTTTTAGGCTAAAATGAGTCTCAAAGGTACTATATTATCCTTTGGTTAGTTCACAATTGGCTTAAAACAGTTAGAATCCTAATAAAGATCCTTTAAATTCATATAACAATCGTAGCATTCGTCTAGATCAATATAGACCTTTAGTTAGTCTTCCTAAATATCCATCAGAGGCTATTTACAGTATTAAACTAATTATTAAAAGTTTCATTTGAACAAAAAGTGTAGTATTACATCAACTGCCTGCCAAGTCGCTACGGTATTTCCCAAACATCGATAGAATGTGCTGACAAAGGAGTTGCGCAAGGTCACCGACGCTGCTGTAGATCTATTGTCATACTTTAATATGTATGGCTAATATCATAAACACTTTTTGGCTTAATAGTTTATTAGTAAACTACAAACACCATACAGTTTACCATACACAGACTATTGAACCTCGAGTTTTATTCGGTTGAAAATTGAATTTTTCTATACGTGTTTTCAGTAAATACGTATGGTTTTAAAGTATTGAACTGTATAAGAATTGTTTATTAACAATATTATGGTGAGAACAAGAATTAGTAAGTAACAAAATCGGTAATAAAGCATTTTAATGTTGTAAAAAGCATAAACCTGAGTAGTTTGAATGCTAATTATACGTATATTTTGGTCATTTAACCACAAATTTAGAGTGAAAATGTGTACCTTTAGGTATTTTACTAATAAATCTAGGCTTATATAGCCTGTTTGACCACAAATACAATAGAAAATTATTTATAGCCTTTGGAATACTTCTCACTATACAAGCTATCGTGACTATCGCCTGCCGTTTGCAGAACGCAACCCGTTGTAACTTAAACGCGGGCGGTCGATTACTAAATAACCCTTAAAGACGCATGCATTTAATTAGGTTAGTAAAATGTGGGTAAAAATTAGCTTGAATTCAGTGAAAATCCCATCTCTGTATCACTTTTAGTTTTCGAGATATTTGCATTTAAAGTTTTCCATGAGTTATTTTCCCTATAAACCACGTAAATATTATTTTTAACATACAATTTGCATCATCTAACGTTACATTAGACAGCCTCAACCTAATTAAAAGGTTATAAAGCTATTAAATCCCAATATTCCATGAATCAACAGTCTTTAACTTGTAAAAACTGAGTTTCCAACGCTTTTTGACCATTCTGATAGGTGGAAAATCACAAAAAATGCCTTAAAAATCACTAAAATCACTAAAAACCAATCAATCGATTAATAATTAATCAACCAATCTAAACGAAACAAACGAAACAAACTCTTCTCCTCCCTAGAGTGGATGTGCTGTCCATCCACACACTACTAGATGGGGTTGTGTGTGGATGGACAGCACATCCACTCTAGGGAGGAGAAGTTTGTTTCGTTTAGATTGGTTGATTAATTATTAATCGATTGATTGGTTTTTTAGTGATTTTAGTGATTTGAGTGATTTTTAAGGCATTTTTTGTGATTTTCCACCGATCAGAATGGTCAAAAAGCGTTGGAAACTCAGTTTTTAAGGATTAAAGACTGTTAATTCATGGAATCTTGGGATTTAATATCTTTATAACCTATTAATTAGGTTGAGGCTTTCTAATGTAACGTCAGATGATACAAATTGTATGTTAAAAATAATATTTACGTGATTTAGAGGGAAAATAACTCGTGGGAAACTTTATATGCAAATATCTCGAAAACTAAAAGTGATACAGAGATGGGATTTTCACTGAATTGTAGCTAATTTTTACCCACATTTTACTAACCTAATTAAATGCATGCGTCTTTAAGGGTTATTTAGTAATCGACCGCCCGCGTTTAAGTTACTACGCGTTGCGTTCCGCAAACGGCAGGCGATAGTCACGATAGTCTTAAAATGTGAGAAGTATTCCAAAGGCTATAAATCATTTTCTATTGTATTTGTGGTCAAACAAGCTATATAAGCCTAGATTTATTAGTAAAATATCTAAAAGTACAGATTTTAACTCTATATTTATGGTTAAATGACCAAAAAATACGTATAATTAGCATTCAAACTACTCAGGTTTATGCTTTTTACAACATTAAAATGCTTTATTACTGATTTTGTTACTTACTAATTCTATATAAGTAATAATTCTATATAAGTACTACTTCTATAATTCTATACTAATAAGTACGTAAATATATACAGTTCAATACTTTAAAACCATACATTTATACTGAAAATACGTATAAAAAATTCAATTTTCAATCGACTAAAACTAGAGGTTCAAGACTCTGTATATGGTAAACTGTATGGTATTTGTACTTTACTAATAAACTATTAAGCCAAAAAAGTGTTTATGATTTTAGCCATACATATTAAAGTATGTTAATAGATCTACAGCAGCGCGCGGTGACCTTGCGCAATTTCCTTTGTCAGCACATTCTACCGATGTTTGGGAAATACGGCCCGCGACTTGGCAGGCAGTTGATGTAACACTATGTACACTTCAAATAAAACTTTTATAATTAGTTTAATACAGATTATAGCCTCTGATGAATGTACAGATTAACAGGAATACTAACTAAAGACCTATCTTCATCTAGACGAATGCTACGATTGTTAAATGAATTTAAAGGATCTTTATTAGGATTCTAACTGTTTTAAGCCAATTTTGAACTAAACAAAGGATAATATAGTACCTTTGAGAATCATTTTAGCCTAAAACAGTAAATATTATGTTAATATACACTTTAAAAGTCTACAATCTGTGACTTAAAATAGTCCAACTCGGAGCAAAATAGCCAACTTTATACTGCTAAGGCTTAAAAAGTAAACATTTTTAAAGGCTCAAATATATGTATTACTGTTGAATATATAGCAATAAACACAATTATGTAGTTTATTTAATGTTAATCCTTTCAATAGCTTTATATTTCAGCAAATAAAATGGCGTTTTCGCCACGAGTTTAAAAGACGATAAATGTCATAATATTGCAAAATATAGTGTTTTTTGTGATTTTTTAAGGGATTTTAACATCAAATTAGTTAAACTATACTAGTAAATGATTTGAAAACCACATTTGGAGAGCTTAGAACTGTACAGTTTATTCAGAAAATGGAAAAAATCTATTGCGACAAAGACAGTTTAAAAAACAGTACAGGCTTATTCCTTTATTTATTTCTCTATAAAAGTAAATTATGACTTTATTTTTGTATATTTCACTGCTTAAGCACCTATTACATGGTATGTAGTGAAGTCTAAGTAATTTAAATGAACAGTTTATCGAAAATTCAAGTATTACCAGTGGTTGCAAATCGGCAAGTAAAACGTAAGAGTCATAGCCTAATCTTGACTTTTTAGTCTTTTTAACCAATTTCATAATCATTTAATGATGAATTAGACTGTAGAATATAATAAAATTACCCATTAAAGGCTTAATACCAGGGAAATAAGCTCATAAAACCACTAAATGTGGAATTACAGCCATAATATCAAGTGAATAAGCCTATAAATCCATAAAAAATCTCTAAAAAATCACTAAAATCACTAAAAAATCGCTAAAATCACAAAAAACCAATCAATCGATTAATAATTAATCAACCAATCTAAATTAACAACCGAAACAAACTTCTCCTCCCTAGAGTGGATGTGCTGTCCATCCACACACTACTAGATGGGGTTGTGGCCTTAGGTGGTTGATCGGGCGAATTTACCGTTTGTTATTGGTTTTATCTGATTAACTGATTAGTTTATTATTGGTTTTATCGATTGATTGATTAACTGATTAGTTTATTATTGGTCTTATCGATTGATTATCTGATTGATTAACTGATTAGTTTATTATTGGTTTTATCGATTGATTGCTTAACTGATTAGTGATAACTGTTGCCGTAGAGGTCTTTCATGATTTTAGAGTTTGCATGTTGAATTACCTGATTCAAGGTAACCTTTAAATCACCACATAACCTAACTCCCTGCTGTTTAGGTATGACTACCAATGGTGTGCCCCACTCCGAACTAGTCACTGGATAGGCTACACCGTCATCCACCATCTTCTGTAACTCTTCTTCAACCTTATAGCGTAACGAAAAAGGCACTGGCCTAAATTTACAAAATTTCGGAGTCGCCCCTTCTCTCAACACTATGTGAGCTTTCACATTTTTAATTTCACCTATTTTACCTTTAAATACAGACAAATATTTGTTTTTCAAAAGATCAACATCTTTAGGCACTTGGACCTTGGTTAGGCTAGGTTCTGCCAAAACATCATGGCCTTGAGAACTAGGCCTAGACTGTGTACAGAGCTTATGAGTCTGGACTGCACTAGGCTTACTTGAAAAAATAGAGTTCCAGTTCAAAACTATTTTTTGCAACCAATTTCTACCTAAAAGCAACGGTGCGTTTGCTTTATCTACATCCACTACTGTCATAGGCAACATGTAGCTTGTCTGTTCATAAACCACATTAACATCTACTTGGCCTACTACCTTAACTTCATCACCAGAATAGGCACGTAATTTTACATTACTACGAGTCAATTGTAATTGAGAAAAATGTTTTTCATACACTTCAAATGGACATACTGTGATAGCAGATCCTGTATCAATCTCCATGTCTAAGTCTACATTTTCTATGGCTACTCTTACCTTGTAACAAGAGTTAGGGTCAGTTAGGCCTAGCCCAATATTGTACAAATTTAGCTCTTCACATTCCTCACTAGGGCTTTCAGACATCTGATGCACTTTATATTTACCTCCAGTAGCTTTACTACCTCTATCCTTGGCCTTGCATGCCTTTCCTAGGTGACCCACTTTTGAACATATATGACATTTATATTTATCATATGGGCAATTGTTAGCCTTATGGTCGGTCTTCAAGCACCTGTAACACTTAAAAAATTTCGTAGCACCTTCACTTTCTTTCATTTTGCCACCCCTAGGCCACGTGGTTTTCCTAACATGAAACTTGTTCACATCCTGAAAAGTTTCCTGTTTGCTGAGAAACATGTTTGTGTGCTTGTCTGCCTGTTCAAACGTGAGCGCCAACGCTAAAGTTTTATCAAAATCTTTTTCCTCCGGCAATAACTTTTGCCGAATTTGTTCATTGGAAATTCCCGAGATTAGCCTATCTCTTAAAGCGTCCTTTAGGAATGTTCCAAATTGACAAGAAGCCGAAAGATGTTTTATCGCAACCACAAAATCTGAGATGCTTTCACCAGACCTCTGCGAGCGGGAATTGAACAAATAACGCTCTACCACTATTAAACGTTTGGGTGAAAAATGTTGTTCCAATACTTTAACGAGTTTATCAAAATCTAATTCGTCCACTTTTTCAGGGGAAACTACATCCCGTAACACTGCGAGCACTTTAGGACCTAACACGGTGATTAGAACAGAAACCTTGCTCGTGGCCTTGACATCATTCGCAATAAAATAATGTTTCAAACGCAACAAATATGACGAAATATCTTCTTCACTGGGATTAAATTCTCCCATTCGTCCCACACTCGACATTTTCACCGACTACCGACTGCGCCAATATTATGTTCTATATCACTACTAGTTAAAAGAACCGCACCATATCAAATAGACTGCGACTAACCTGGTAGATAACGTAGAACTGAGGCCGGTTCAGAGACATCAGCTGTGACGTCATTGCGTTGGCAGTGCAGCCACACACACAAACTAAATAGCACTACTTTCTGCTAGTGCATATAACTTTAAAATATATCACAGGTGCATACCAGTATTCCAATCAAACAACACAAAACAGCCTGCTTTTATTATGCACGTAATCCGTGTACGCTTGAAAATAAGCTGGCAACACTTAATATTGCGACTACAATCAGCTGGTGAAGCGTTTCCCAATTCGTTCAATGTTTAGATTCAACCTAAAGTAAAAACGTGTTGTACAGTGTTTAAAAGACTAATTATTTGTATGATTTATAGTAACTGTAGAAAAAACATAATGTGTAACACGATTGCGCACTTTTAGCCTAAATAGCATTTACTAGTTACACAAATAACTGTTATCAAACTTATACCTTTGTCTATTGGCTTCTGTATCCAATAACCAATGCAAATACCGACTTGATGAATTTGAAACAAATAGAAAAAAACTTATGAATCATTGAGAAAACTACTCTAAAAAAATTACAAGCATATTATTATTATTTTAATCTTTTACTTGGTTTCAAAAGATTTCATGTTAAATTAACAATTTTAGGGCCTAGGTTTCCTTGAAATCGTTTTGTATATTGAAGCGTTTTGTTTGTTTAATCAGTAAAAATCTTCATCTCTCATATTGGTAAGTTTCATATTGATATTATAATGAAAATACTTCGTAAAATTTGAGATTAAAATTAAGAACCTTTTTGAAGAGGTTGGGCAAAAGTTTCGAAATGGTTTGACAAATATTAAAACATTAACTACCACAATTAAACTCTATACATAGTAGATCATAGAGGGTTTTGCCTTCAGGTTTTTGCAGTTTTTATCACTCGGGGGATAAATTACTTTATTATCGATCACATTATACATATTTTTTGTTTTAACTGATCGAAATTGGCGTTGCCTTATGAATAAACAAAATATTTATAAAATAAATCATTTTTCCGATTCCGAAATAGTTTTTTCCCCTAAGACGCTATGCTCTAGCCCTGGATTATTTTTCACATTACTTCAGGCTAGACCAAGGGGCTGCGGCATCATCACTTGGATAAAATCCATTTGGTGATTTGGGGGATTTGAACCGTACTTAAGAGTACTTAAGTTTGGACCGAAGTCCAGCTCGCTCCCCGTTTCCTAATCTAACAGCAATGGATTGAATCTAAGTGATAATGCCGCGACCCTGACTAGCATGAAGTAATATAATAAAGTATTATACGTCGGGCTAAGACCTCAGCCCAATCATGCTCTGTTGCGTGTTATAATAAATAATGAGATTTACTAAAAACGTATTTTTTACCAAATTCAGTTCTCTAAACATTTTAGGGAATTTTCAAGTGTATCTTTTGATTGATTTAATTAGGTGTTGCATGTTTGTGACCGAACTTAGATGGAGTTTAAGAGCGGAATTGCAAAATAAAACTAAATAAATAATAAAACTGGCATTTAATAGTTTTAAAAACCAAGTATTAAACCTTCAATCTCTTATAACTAAAAATGCGAGATTTTAGATGAATGTGTTTGAAACATTTGATAAATTAATTTCCTACTGCAATACTTTTCAGTTTTTATTTATATTTTCATTTGAATAATTAAAATATACAATGGTGCACTTATAAAGGGTATACTAATGACATGTATGTTTGTAAATAATAAATCATAAGACATCTTTTAGAAAACTCTCAAACATAGTAATAAAAGTAGTAGAATAGGCTGTGTGTTCGAAAATCATTGATCTAGTGAAATAATAATTTAACACGCGCAGTGTTATTGCAAAAGGTAAAAATAATGATTGATTTTATCCTTAAACATTGAAGATATAAAAATAGGGGACTTTGCCTCTCCTCACGTAGCCAACGTTAGCCAACTAAAGTGGTTAGCTCACTCAAGTCAGCTAACGTGATCCACTGCTTTTCACATATTTTAATTGTGTTCTTACTTCTTTGTATTTTAATAGTTTGAATCTATCATTTTTATTTGTAGCCTATAAAGCGTTTAGAGATGTAATTTACAATAACACATATAAACCACAGCTTGTAACTTTATATTCAAATATGCTATTAGAAGTATTATGTGGGGCAAAATGTGCTTGTATTTCTACGATATGAAAGCACGGTGTTTATCTTAAGTACAGCCCCATAAAAGAAAAAGTAATTTAGTATTTTACTGTATATGAAGGAAACATTTGTCAGAATCAACTACATATATGCAAAGAGTGATATTTTATATGTAGGCTAGGTACCCCATGTGTAGTGAAGTTGACTTACCTTCATGTGGCTTTATTTGAGGCTTTTATGTAGCGATTGTAATATAAAAATTGCTACGTACTCAGTTAAGGGAATACGACATGTTAACATATTATTGATTGTGGCTCAGTAATTATAATATTACAAGGAGTACATTTGGTGATTATAAATAAATATAAATGTTGACATATTACCCATGAATTTTATGAATGAAGAAGAACCAATTGTATGAATACATGCGTATTCATATAAGTACATGTATTAAATAGTCCAAGAACATCATCTTCATTGGGCTGATTAACTTTGGAATTCCATTCCTTGAGTAGTTGTAAGGAAGTCATTTGACTAAGGTATTGACAAAACAGCCACCTGCTCTGACAATGACCTACGCAATGAAATATCCGATAATACAATTGGCTTGGGGTTTTGACCTTCATTTTTAATGTTAAATAGTTATCCTGAAATACGTATTCAATTGAACGGTTGTAAAGGGAACCTACTGATATAACTATTTCCTTATAATAGGAAAATAGTTATTTCCGTAGCCTTATGGTTAGAGTTAGTTCTGGGACTGATTTATTTGTTGGACTCGGAAACCAAGAACACAGTTCGTTCGATACTATATCCGCTTTTTATGATGAAATCGGGGTCGATTGTATATTTAATATACCTATATGAAATATATTTTAAAGTACAAATCGACTTTGGATAATGGTGTATGAAGAAAAGATTTTTAAACCCAAAACTTGGCCATAAAGAAAATTAATTTTCTTGGATATTCGAGTTGTATAACGATGCATTGCATTGCAATGTCAATCCATGCGTATGGGATGCCCATATATTTAAAGTTCAGAACAAAGTGCATTGGCCCTTACATTTGTATTATGTTTGTCTTACCAGCCTATGGTTAGACCAACCAATGAATACCAACCTATGTATTCATATTCTAGTCCTATTAACAATAATTCCATATTTAAGAAACTCCGTAACTATATCGATTACATTTCAATTAGAAGTTTGCTAAATATGTAACATGCTGCCATGAGGCTTTTGTAAATTGGCTGTGTTCTTATGCTATTAGGAGAAATGTTTGTGTTATAAATTTTAACTAGCTTTGTAGTCGTAACATTATTAAGTACAAAACTTTAATGTAATTAACGTCAATTTAATTTACATAGGCTACATTTCTCTTTGGACTATGTAGTAAAATATGTGCAGTTTTCACGGATTTCTGAGATTGAAACTCTGAACACAGAACTAATACGCCACACAACATTTGAAATTCTCAGCGCAATCTTGTAAAACTTCTAGACTGACACAATGAAAAGTCTTGAAGCATTTACTACCACCCCAGTCATTGCAGTTTAAGGAGGTAATTTTTTACCTTCAAATACTTAAGGAGCTGTATTTTTGGGTTTTAAACTAATTACTATTATTACCAATGCATCAAAAATAGATTACTACTGTTAGCTAACAATGACGATCAGAATTAACAATTTTGTGTGTAGGATAACTATGTAGAAAAAATTCATTTCTAGTTCAAATATTTCATACGACCTTTGTAGTTCACGGTCTACACACCTTGTAAACGCTATAAGATTATGAAACATCATAAAATACGTACTCACTCTTTAACATGTTCCCAAATTTGAATGTACAGCCTGCAAAGTTATAAACCACTTTTTGACACAAATGTATACATACGTGTACAGGAACGTTAATCCACATAAGGTACTTCAATTAAGCAATGTGAATTGATCACTATTCCATCTTAATTAGACATTACTGATTATTATAATAATTTACCGGCTTACCACGTTATTTACTTCAAATTGCCAATGAACGTGTCTGTCCCCGGTGCTTCTGCAAATAACTGTAGTTTATAATGTAATTACAACGCGTGAACACTAATGTGCGAAAATGATTTAAAATGTCCAATTTTACATTTTACCATCTATTGTTGGACTATACACGTTTTACGTTACGTTCAATGGTCGGCTGTTGCATGATGGTAATTTACTTAGACAATATGCTACAGCGTGTAAGATGCTTGGAAAATATAACAAGCAAATACATATAATTTACATTGTAGACAGCCACCACGCAACCCAGTGCCAAGTCTGTGTCAATTGATTATCGATCTGGTAAATCCTCAAGGTTCGCAGTTGGCATCACTGACTTGGAACAACAATCCATTGAGCGAGGCCGCCCACATCATTCTAATCGGCAAACAACTATATCGTCAACAACATTTTAATATGTTGTGATTTTATATAACTCTTTAAGTAAATATATTCAAAGTAATAATACAAAATTCACAACAAAACCAAGAAAAAAATTCTTACTAAACAAAAGTTCTGTCGTTAGTTGTAAGTGGCATTGCACTTCGTGTTATAGGAATGTGTAGGTGAGTCGGTAGCTCTCAGTCAATAAAGTGCTGTATTTTGCGTGGCATTTTAGCAATCGTTGCCACCTTGTTTCAAATTCTAATTTATATGAATCCCCTATCCAAAAGAACATCGTTTCTGAAACTGAAGCAGTCACGTCATGATATTGTTCGATTAGGAGAGGCAGTGTTTGTATTGTAAGTGTTAATTTATTTATGTTTCGAAAATAAAAGGTAAACTAAATTTTGGGATGTAACTACTTCTTGATAGTAGGGTTTATAATATTTCGTAATACTAGTAGAGAAGGGTTCTTTAATGGCTAATAAAGCTAATAGCACGTTTGCTCTATGTCAAGT